TTTTGCATTAGATAAACATTGATCAACATTTTATTAAATATATTTAATCAATTACAAATCTTATTATGTTTCAAAAAGGACCAAACTAACCATTTAAAAAATTTTTTTAAATTTTTCTCACGTATATATGTATAATTAAGTTGGTATAATTAAGTAGCCAATTTGAAATCCAATATTTTTTAAATTATCGAATTCAATAAAGTATTTATATATACACTTTAATGATATCAATTATCTAGAAAATAACTTGTTTCTGTATAAAGATTGTGTTTTCAAATTTCTTGCACCATTCATATGTATATACGTATATTATATTAATTTTGGAAAGATGGACTACCCGGTTCATAATCAAGTAGTATATTGAAATCAAATATTTTTAAATTATTGATTTCAATAAAGTTTTTATATACACATTTTCTTGATACTAATAATTTAGACCATAATTCTATTGCTATAAAAGAGATTGTAGTTTGTAAATTTCTTGCGCTATAAGGTATTTTTATTAAATGATTAAATTTTTTTCTTTAGTTAAAAACTTTTTTACTTCGAATTTTTTGCAATAGAGCTCTAATTTTAAATGAACAGAATAATGATGACATGTATATTGTAGAATTATCATGTGGTGTTTATGAAAATTATAAACAAAGTGACTCTGAAGATAATAAAGATTATAGTATTCAATATGAAGATGTTCAAGATGAAAATTAAAATAGACTGTCATAATTATATTCAAGAGTATGGTTGTGGCTGTAGCCATGTCTATGATCATGATAATAGTTGTAGTTATGGCCATGGCCGTGGTTGTGGTTGTGGTCAAAATTATAAAACTAAAATTCAATATGTACAACTTCCTTCTTCTTCTTCTTTTTAGAGTTTCAATTTAAATAAATCTGTCATCTATTTATCTGTATCTAATTATTCGGATAATCCAAATCGCCAAGATATCTAAATAATCCAAAGGGTAATTAGATAATTATCCAGATATTAATAGTAAAACAGATATTTGAATAAATTCAGATTCAGATATCTGATAGATAAATAGATAAATAGATAATGGATTAAAACACTATTTCTTTTAATACATTTCAACATTTAAGACCTATGCATGAATTTATAGTAAACTTACCTACTAGATATGAGTCTTCTTTATCATCGCTATATTCAATTTTTAGTCTTTTCTTTTTGTATAAACAAATAAATACAATAGTGCAGAATACTAATAAGTATGCTTGTTTAAAAGATATTAGAAAAGGATGTAAATGAGAAGAATTAACAGTAGCCAAATTTAAAATTTGGTTGGCAATATTGATATATACTGGTATTTTTAAATTTCCTAGTATTAGAGATTATTGGAACAAAAATAATAGATTTCCAAAATATAAAATAACAAAATTTATAACATTACTTTATTTTGAGCAAGTAGGGTTTTTTAAATAAATATTTTTATTGGATCAAATTTACTATATTTGGTTATTACAATGATTTTTTAAATTTTTTTTTTTTTTTTTTTAGATTAAATGTTTTATGTATATTTCAAACTGTACTACACCATCTTTGTATTGGTATTCTAAGTTAGATTCGTTAGCAAGTCATGTTCAAGCAATTTCCAAATTGATCTGTATTCTGTCATCTAATATATCAATTGATGAAATGATTGCGAGATTTTCAGGTCGAAGCATGCATACGGTTAGAATTAAAAATAAGCCTACACCAGAAGACTACAAAATTTTTTTTCTATATGATACAAGCTACATATATGTCTTTATTTTTACTTTGTGAATTCAAAATTATCCAGAAGTAAACCAAATTTCAGATTTAAATAAAGTTGAAAATGATGTTTACTATCTCATTTCTCAATTACCTTTAACTAAGTCTTTCAATATATATATAGATAATTATTTTTTATTTATTAATCTTTTTCAATATTTGCACAATAATAATTTTGAAGCTTGCGGAACAGTTTGAAAAAATAGTGCTAATTTTTCAAAAATACTTAAAGTAGAAAAGAAGGTAGATTAGGATATATTATCTGGAGTAGTAGTTGATGGGGTTTAGCTATTTTAAGAATAGACAACGGTCCAGTAACTATACTCACCACTATTCATAAAATTACTGAAAATGAAAACAGAATTAAAAGAGTTCAACC